GTATCAGACCAGGCATAGTTCGTGAAAATAAGTGCAAAAATAAAGGAACAAATATTTTTGGAATTTTTAGATTTTCATTACCACAACATTCTATTACAAACTAATCATTTTGAAATGGAAATTAATGGACTCCAACTAAACTCAAATACAAACTCTAAACATACTAGCATACTTGGACGCAAAAAGAAAACAGACTGACAAACAACAAACTCTAGAATGGAAAATACAGACTCGATCTATGAATACATTAGTGCTTCAAAAGTGGGTGCCCGCGGGGCATCGTTCGGCCTCGCCGCGGGCTTAGGTGCCAAATCCCTTTCAAGTTGCTCTAGCTCATACATGGTTCGCTTGACATAAATTATTACCGCCGAAAAGAAGGTAGTGCGGGTCATGTCTTCACATGCCCGACATCTCCTAAGGATGGCGTGGGCAATGGTCTCAATCCTGTCTCTTGTTCGACCCTTTTCTATAAGCAATCGCCGTACTTGATTATTGCGAGACTCCAACACACGAGAATCTTGAAGATGCTGATCCTATAGCTGATGTATTTCTACTTCCATTTGGGCCAGTAAGTCATAGCAGTGTCCACTTTCAGTCTCAAAAGCTTTAGCTTGCTTAACTGCTTTATCCTCAAAGGTGACCACTTTCCTTTTCAGACTACCGATGGTCTTTTCATAATCCTTCTTTAATTGTTGCATGTAATGGGTGCGTTCTTCCGTTTTTTTTACCCATTGTGCCCAAAGTTCCGCTATGGTGCCTTCGGATTTTTTCAGCTCATCCCGGCACTCACCAATTTCCCTTTTCAGCCCCTTTATCAACCGCTCATCCGACCGGCTCCTTTGTTGGTTATTGGCAGCTATCCTCATTTGCTGGACTTGGGCCCTAAGCGCCTCATTTTCTTGGGCCAACCTGTTCTTTTCTCCCTGATCAGCAGCAACTTGCATACTATTCTCAAATTTCAGAGCTCCGATCTGTTGTTTCAGCTTGCTGATTTCGGCCTGACAACCTTCTTCTTTTGCGAGCCAACCCCATTGTTCTTGTGATGATTCAGTGAAATCCTGGATGTGGGGTCTTTTAGCTGGCCTCCGATGCTCAAGTTCTCTTCTGTACCATGCGAGGTATTCTAGCGATATTTCTCTTTTGGCCTGATCCTGCACACAAGTATCTGCTTGTAGATATTGACATTCATTCCAAATCTCGCGGACTTTTGCTTCGAGAAACTGTCCGTCAGGGATAATCTCAATTACTGAACACTAAGATCTTCCTCCCGTGGCACGGTTTGGCATCTCCCGAGTTGTCTCAGAAACCGATATGGAGCATAAGGCTGGATGCTATTAAGGCCCATCAAAAGAAAATGCGACCTAGCTGCTGGCATGTATATGATTTCTTCAACAGGCAACCATCCCAACGTCCACTATATCTGACTGTCCGTGAGAGTATGAAAGTATGATATCCATGCTGTTACTCGTTCAGGCAGACTAACCCCGTCAATCCTTGTGTAAAACTCTCCTATACATGTCTTGTCAGATGAACCATAACTCAAGAGCGGGGAACGGTAGCATAGATGCTCGGTCATCCACATTTGTATCAACAAGTTACACCCCTCAAAAAAGTTACCTCCGGCTTTGCAGGCAGTGAGAGCTCGGAAAATGTCAGACACGATCATAGGCGCAAGAGTGCTTTCATTTTGAGCAAGCAAGGTACTAACGACCCCGGCTATTTTTATATCAATATTCTCGTCTTTCCTTGGGAACACCAGGAGGCCCACAAAGGTTATCATGAAAGCCACCCGTCTGTGCTCATCCCACTTTCGACGGTTATTGTTACTGCATAGCTTGATGTACGGCTTGTTAAACCCTCCCACATGGCCGTACCTATCGTATATGAAGCGTGGAGTGCAGAAACCTTTTGCCAAATCTGGATTATGGACCGTCCTGGGTATCTTCAATGAATCTAAAAACCGATGCACCGTGATGGCTCTTAGAGCAACCAGTTATTTTCCTCTTAACGGAACCTCAGCATTTCCGATGTACCCGGCTATTTCCTCCAGAGTTGGGGTGAGCTCAAAATCTGGGAAGTGGAAGACATTGTGCGCTGGATCCCAACAAGTGACCAACGCTCTTATAATATCACCCCGAGGTTTGATTTCCAGCAGACCCGTAAGACCTTTCAGATATTTTTTGACTTCGTCTTGTCCTTCTTTGCCTAAATCGTTCCACCATAGTCGCAACTCGAAAGGGATTTTACTCATTATTGAGAAAGGTTCGTTTTGCATTGTGCTCATCCTGCACATTTATTAAGGTGATTTAAGCAAAAACTTTTATTTGACTCAAAACAAAATTAACTATTTCCTTTTCCAAATTTAAAATGAAAGACTCGGTTTTCAAACACGGCCTTTCGGCACTCCCAAGAACGAAGATTTTAAGGCTGTGAAAGTCAACCGGTCAAAAATCAAAAATTGACCAAAGGTGGCAGTTATGCAAAGTCAGCCTTCCGGCGTCCATCTCGGGAACATTCGGCTATTTTTTGACAAAACGACATCACCCAATTTATTCATGAAAAAATGTAAACTGAAATATTTTTGGCTATTTTTTGCAAAGGGGAGGTTGGACCCGATGAAGGTTGCCTACGTATCTCACGCCCTGTGAGAATCAATCCTGCGTAGTTCGGGCAAAGAAACTAACTATATTTTTTGAAAACAAGACCCTTTTTTTCATTTTCCATGGCAGGACTAACTATTTTTCCCTTTCTATTTTTTTTGAAAACAAGACAAAATAACGACTCTTTTTTTCTTTCTCATTTTCGACAAACAATTAACAACCTATTTTTCCCAAACTAAAATAAAAATCCTTTTTTTTCCTTTTCAATAAAAGACTCTTTTTCTATTTTTCTTTTGCTTTTAGTAAAACAGACTATTAAAAATAAAGCATTTTTCTTTTTCAATTTCTCAAAATTTCGGTAGAGTTTCGACAGTATTTGGTCATTGGTTTTTCTGAAATAATCAATTAATTCCCTAACTGCTATTTCTCTCTTTTTCTCTCTTTTTTTTTCAATTTTCCAACATTCCCGAGATTCAAAAGCCGATCAACATGCCGGTTTGAAACAAATATATGTACAGAACAAATAGGATGCATCAAGATGGTCTTTTCACTTCAGGTTGCTAGCCCTAGACGGACCCAACCCCTGTGTTGAGTCCCCTAAGTCAAATGCAGCATGATGCAATTAAGCGCTCCTATTAGGGATCTGGCGTGAAGTCAAGTTATTCAAGGTTCAAAACCTGGATATGTGTTCTAAACAGTGCACTCGAGCGGACAACTCGAGTCGAAGAGGGGACAACGTACCGGGGACCCGCGAGATCGTCCGGCTTTGCAACTTATACGAGCCTCTTTTTATTTCAGGGTAGGACACTAATAGAATAGGGAGTCTCAACCAGTAAGCACATCCCCAGAGGTGAAGAAAGAAGGGTGTTGGCATAGCTTATATACAATTCAACTGATATCAAAGCGGTAACATTTAGCATATTCAGCACAAAACATGTAGGAAAATCAGATATAACCAAATACAACAATTTATCTTAGCTCGAATTCTGAACCCTGAACCAGAGATTCTGGGTTCGATCCCCAGCAGAGTCGCCAGAGCTGTCACACCTCCTTTTTCACCTATACCCCGTAAGGGCATAAATATAAGGGAGTTTTTCCACTTAAAGGACAATCGGAACGGAATTTAATTATTTATTATTCAGAGTCGCCACTTGGGATATTATTGGTGTCCCAAGTCACCGGTTGAATCCCGAACCGAGGAAATTTATGACTCTGTTAACAGTCCGCGAACCAGAAATCTGAGTAAGGAATTCTGTTAACCCGGGAGAAGGTGTTAGGCATTCCCGGGCTCTGTGGTTCTAGCACGGTTGCTTAACTGTTGTATTAGATTTTATCCGATTTTAATACATGCTAACTTATGTGCCTTTGATTTTATTTTTTATTTTTATTTTTTTTAGAAACAAAGTGTCATGAAATCTTAAAATGTGCGCGAAATAAATTTTGAAAACTACATAATACCTATTATCAAAGTTGAGTAGTGTACTCAAAGTTGATATCACACTTTGTATAACAAAAATCCAGCCCATACAATCCATGCTAGTATACGCCTTTGTCCTTCTCATTTGCTTCTATCCTCCTAGGAAACTAGACGCATGCTCTTACTGTTCTGTTGTTGTTGCTTAATCCGAGCACCGTATTCCCATGCATTTAATCTTTTTGTTCGATTTGTTGTTGTCGCGCCGAGGATGAGAGTACTGGCCATTGTTTAATCACTGTTCATTTTAAAATACTGGCTTTGTTGACAACCGAGCTGGATGGTCGCTCATGCTATCTCGAATTGTGCAAATGTAGTGCATTTTCCAATATTGTCTAGCATGCTTTAACTTCCAGCGTGCACAGCTGCCACCATCCATGGGATTATGAAGCTTTTCTGAATATGCAACTGCACGTGTGTGTGGTCCGTTCCGTGAACTCTTCTTTGAGTTCTTCCTCAGAATCAGTGTCCTTCATCTTACGTGCCATCAGCTTTAAGAACTCTTGTTAATGGTTCCATTCTGATCATCATCACGCTGATCATATCCTGTAGTCAACGTCGTCCTTGTCGCAAAGGCTAAAAGCCTTGTTGAACAGCTTTCTGCTCCTCCGTTAGCTGCTGTGCCCTTTCTCTCTCTCTTTTTTCACGATTCACGCTTTCCAAACATGTGCTCACATTAATGGGTTTATCGATGTCTCCATGTTCCAGCTAATTTCTTGCCCATTGTTTTGCTCAAGATTTCCCATTTTTTAAAATATTCGTTGTAATCCCCAACATGCGTCTCGTTTCCTGCAAATTTTGCTTGAAAAGCTCATTCCAGCATTTCTATTCCCTTTTGATATCCTCTAGAAATCCTTTACTTATTTACTTTGTCACTTATCAAGTATGCAGGCGTGCATATGCTCCACAGGTGTGCACTATACAAACTAAAAAGTTGCGCATATTTGCTTTGCTTTTCCTCGAACACGATTTTCCACCATACTTGTTGTTGAGCCCATGTGTTTGTAATATTCTTCAGAACATGAGCTTTCATCTTTTGTCGAGCATTTGGTTTGTCTTATGTTTCCAAAGCGCATTCTGAAGTTTGTTCCACTCGTTTTACTAGTTCTCGAGTTCCCTTCATCTTCCAGCATTAAACAATTATAAACCTGCCAATATTCGAAATTCCCTAGCATGCTGGTGCAAACTCCAAACGAATTGGCATCTATTTCTGTCCAGAACTTGAAATTCCCATCATGTTTTCCATGCTCCCATTTTGAGGAGAATCGCATGCTCTCCATAACTACATGGAAGTGTCGATCCATCCCATTTTTCTTTAAACCCTTTTGCACCTGCATTAATGTCCTCCCAGTGGATTGAATGCTCTTTCTTTTCTCTTTGCTTCTTATCTCCTGTCCACCTTAACCCTTAGCCTTGGACATTGCAGCTTATCTTCATTAACTAACCTCCTTCTCTGTGTATCCAGATGCCAGAAATGTTGGCATTCTATTTCTCCATGATCTAAAGCATAATTAGCCAAGTGATCTGCCAGCTTGTTGCCCTCCCTATGAATATGACTAAGTGTGTAATTGCCCCCATTCATTAGTTGCATCATTTCCTCAATCTGCTCCGATATGATCCATGGTGGTTTCCAGATCCCATCCATTATCTTTTTTAATAGCATTGAGTCTGTTTGAAGCCATACACGAGAGTATTGCTGAAATCTGCAAAACCTTAGTGCTTCTACCATTGCCTTCGCTTCAGCTACTATGTTTGTTGTCTCCTCAATCTCCTCCCCTACTAACTTGACTATGTCACCATTCTCATTTCTTATAAAAAAACCTATTGAGCTCCTGCCTGGATTTCCCCTCGATGCACCATCCGTATTATTTTAGCCATCCTGCACTTGGAAATTCCCACATGACTTTGGTAACCTTAAGTTTAGGAGTGAAATTTTCCATCATAGCTAAAAGATCTTGCCATTTGTAAGGTACCATGTCCATCCCAGGCTTTCTCACTTTCACCAATGCCTGGAGATTTGATGAAACTTGATATATCACCCTGCTAGTTGTCANAAGAAAATAATCATGTCATATGCATACGCCAAATGATTGATCTTTGGAATCCATTTTGGCATCCCAAATCCACAAAAATACAAGTTAGTATGTAGTGCATTGACACCCCTAGATAATGATTCTGCTGCCAAGATAAACAAAGTTGGAGATACCGGATCACCTTTTTTTACTCCCCTTGAGGACTTAAAGAACCCATGAGCTTGACCATTGATTAGAATAGAATACCAATTGTTTGAAACTAATTCAAAGACAATCCCTATCAACCTTTCTGTGAATCCCATTTTTCTTAGTACCTTGGTTAGGAATAGCCAAGATAATCTATCATAAGCTTTGGTCATATCTAGCTTCAGGATGACATTAGGTCCAACGTTAGTTCTAAGCCTAATGTCAGTCACTATCTCTTGAGTTAGAAGGATATTTTCTACTATATTCCTGCCCTTAGCAAAACCTGACTGTTCCTCCGATATCAGACTTGGGAGAAATTTCACTAGCCTTTCATGTACCACCCTCGATATAACCTTATTAGAAAAGTTACTGAGGCTTATTGGTCTTAAATCAGAAAAGGTGGTAACTTCTTTTTTCTTTGGTAACAGAACTAGGTTTGTGTGTGTTACACACTTGGGTAGCTCATGACCATTGAAAAGAGCCCTCACCATGTCATACATGTCATCCCCTATTATGTCCCAACAAGAATGATAGAATTTGCCTGTCATACCATCTGGCCCCCCAGCACTATCACCATTAAGTCCGAGTACTGCCACTTTAACCTCCTCTTTTGTTGGTTGCTTAATCAATTCTGCATTCTGCTCTATGTTAATCAGATTAGGAATATGCTCTACGATATCAAATGATGAAGGAGTAGATGCTTCTGTGAACTGTTCCTCGTAGAATTTGATAGCCTCTTGTGCAATTTCTTGTTCTTCTTCAATCCAGGTTCCTCCACTGTATTGAATTCTTTTAAGCTGAAGTCTCTTCCTCCTACCTCTCACTTATGCGTGGAAGAACTTTGTGTTCCTATCCCCTTCCTTGAACCAAGTCATGCCTGCCTTTTGTTGCCAATATTTCTCCTCTAGTGCAAGACATTTAATCAATTCTGCCTGGACCTTTTGTAGTCTTTCCTTGTTCATCCCTGTAGGATTTGCTTCAAATTCTGCTTCATGAACCATCACTACCTCCTCCATACTTGCTATCTTTTGTAAAATATCTCCAAATGTAGATGTACTCCACAATGAAAGGGCTTTCTTTAATTTTTTTAACTTGTGATTAAAAAGAATATAAGGATTTGCACTGAAATTAGCAGACCAATTCTCTTTCACCACATCTTTAAAAGTAACATGTTCCACCCAAAAATTTAAGAACTTGAAAGGTTTTTTTATAGGTGGAGTCTCAATATCACACTTCAGATACATTGGACTATGATCAGAACCAGTCTTTGACAAATGCTGCACCTCTATTCCTGGAAATGTTTGTTGGAACTCAACATTGGCCAAACATCTATCTGAATATACAGTCTTCCTCTGCTCTCCCATTCCACCATGTAAATATGCTACCTTTAAATCCGAGGTCGAATAGATTGCAAGTGTTGATGCAGTGTCGAAAATCATCAATTTCATTCAATGACACAGGTAACCCACCAAACTTCTCTTCTTCGTCCCATATTACATTGAAATCACCTCCTACAAGCCATGGTGCTTCCATATCCCTTGCCATTGCATATAATGAATCCCATAATTCTATCCTCTCAATTGCATCACATTTTGTGTATATCAATGTTAGGACAAACTCCACATGCGATTCAGTATGAAACAATCTTAGTGTTAATTGTTGCACCATATTGTACATAACAGTTACCTCAAATACCTCATCTATAAGAGCCCAGATCTTGTTGGAAACATTTGAAATGGCCTGTGCAAGTCCTATCTTGTTTTTGTACCTTTCCAATTTTTTTGCTTGTTGCTTTGGCTCCATTAATCCTACAAAATCATAGTGATTTTGCCTATTCATTTTTGTCAAACTTTCAAAGGCCTGTTGTGTGTTGACTGACCTTATATTCCAAATGAGAGCATTCATCACTGATTGTTGGATTTAGTTAGCGTTCTCCTTGTGTGCACCCCAGCTTTTGGTGCTGCAAAATTATCTTTTTGTTGCTTCTTCTTACCTTTTGCTGCTGATTTTGCCTTTTCCACTTGCGTAGGTGATAAGTCACCTTTCCTTGCAGCATTCATAAGGTGTTGGGTAGTTGATTCTTGATCCATGTCGTATCCTGATTTACCAGGTTCTTCTCCTTCTTCATTGTCTTCCTTCCCTCCTGATGTAGCTCCAAATGCATTCTTTTTAGGGACCAAGGCTTTCTCTTCTCCTCTTTTTAACATCTACAACTGGTTTTTCTCCAATGTAACAGTAATATTTACTATTTCTGTTTTTTGTTTTGGTTGTTTCTCCTTCTCTGTTGTGTTGTGTCCTTGTGGGTCTTCTTGTGATTTCTGAAGTTGATCATCTTCTGTTCCTCTAGGATCATTTACCTCTGGGCCTCTTCCTTCATAGTTACTAATTTCTGTGACTTCTGCTGTCTTAAAATTATTGATGTGCTCAACATTTTCTGATCCTTCCTTTATTAAATAATTACCAGTTGTATTGTTGTCATTGGCATGGATCTCTCCGTTTACACTTTGCTTATCTTCTTCTTTGTCATTCTCATTTGGTTCCTCATCAGCTTGTGCTCCTAGTGGTACTTCGTTCTCCTCTGAATCGTATTCCCTTTGTGCCTCCCATAGCCTGCCTCCACATTCTTGCACTCTTTCTTTAAATGTAGACGATTTTTGACCTTTTGCTTGAGAATTTGGATTTTTATTAAGTACCTTGTTCACTAATGTATCTTGTGATGGGATTTTCTTGCATGGTTTATTGATCTTCACTATTCCTTCTCCTGTTTTATCCTTGAAGCTTATTTCTACCCATTGTGCGGTATCGTTTTTTGCTTTTGATGCCTCCTTTCCATTGACTAGACCATTAGGCGAACTAATCCCCGATGAGTTAAGATGAAAAGCTTGTGCTGCGGGATTTAACTTTCCCTCATTATTGACCATATTTTTTGGTTTTTGCTTTGTAAATGCTTGGTTATGAAGTGCTGAACTATTTGTTGCTACATTAGCTGCCACCATTGCCAATTGATTAACAGGTTCTTCCTCTTCATCCATCCATTGTAATATTGCAAACTTGTTAGCTACTTGAACATGATCATAATCTTCATTGTCTACTGCCACCAAATCCTTACCACTGTTGTTATGTGCTTCTACTTGTCTCTCTACAGTGCTTGTACCCTCCTTGTTCTTATTGTTTTCAAACT